TCCTCGATCTTCGAGGAATTTCTTCACCATCGGCAGCGCGTCGAGCCCTCAAGCAGGGCAAGACTTTACGACGCCGACGGCCGCATGGGTCGACGAGAGCGCGGCGAGAGTTAGCGCGACAGCTGAACCGATGCAACCTCGGGGTCGTCCCATCGAGGCAGGCGGCGGCCCAAATCCGGCTTCAGTGTTGGTCAGGCCGGAGCAGGGTTCCGGCTCCTAGCCAGATAGGGGGTCTGTATCTATGACTCGCACCAAAACGCCCTACCTACCTACCTATTGCGGGCGCCAATCGCCAGGCTCCGTGCCCCACCTACCTACCTATTCCCAGGCCGCGCAGCGAAGCGAAAAAATGAGCCCTCTGTGAATAGGCTCCCAGCGCCCGCCGCGCGCCGGCTTGTACCGCGGTGCGCGCCGCTCGCGAGCCCGCCAGAGCATGGCCTACTGGGCTCTCGAGGCGTTGGACGGCTCCAAAACGGCACTCTCTTCCCTCGACAGAATCTCCCGCGCAGCGAAGCGGTTCCCCGCATGGGTACCCTCTAGGGCCCCCGCGCCCCCCCAGAGCGCCGAAAAGCACGGATTAGGGATTTGGCGGACGTTGAAGGCTTGCCCCCGTCCACTGCTTAGATCGTCGCATTTTTTTGTGCACGGTATTCGGGTTTCTGCTGCAACCTCCACTCCTCGCCGCGCGGCCTCCGCACTCTCGGCGTTCGCCTATCTCGCCCGGCTGCATGCAGGATGCAGCATCCGTGCCCATCTCTGGCAGCCGATCGCCGAGCGCCTCCTCAAAGCACGCGAGAATATCGTTGCTCAGAAGGCCAGTCTCGAGTTCGTCAACGGAAGCAGAGATGCTCGCCCGCAGCACGGCCCGCCCTCGAGACCTGGCTGGCAGCGGCGCACTGCCTCTGACAGCGGCGGCATCCTCCCACGCTGGCCGCGCATCATGATGGCTCGCCGGGTTTTTGTGGCTTTTTTACGGCTTTTGGGGGGTCACGCCCTCCCACACCCCTCTTGGGTTTATTCTCCCGCCCTCCAACCCCTCTCTTGGGTTTTCCGGCTCAACGCCGCGCCCCGCGGTCGGTGCAAGCAGGGAATGTTCCCGCTGCTGCTCTGCTGCAGCCTCGAGTCGCGGTGCGGCCTCCGCACTCTCGGCGTTCGC